ACTGAGTTTGGGTTTTGTTGTTGCTATAGATAACTTTGATGCATCACACACTTCAGATTCCTCCAGCTGCGGGCTGCTGCTACTCTATGTTTCATGTGTGGCCTCAGGTGCCAGTGGTTTTTTTTTTTTTTTAATACTCTTGCCCCATCCTCAGCTTTCAGTGGTCTCTGCATGTCTACTGCAGATGGAGTTCCTCTCTGCACGCTTGCTCCGTCCCTGTAGGGGTGCTATTGCTTATTACTCATGGCAATTCCCATGTGGGAGTGGAATGGAGTTCTTTATCCTTTTGGGCTGGTCTCAGTCTTAGGTCCTCAGAGGTGGTAGTTTCTCAGTGTTCCTGCATTCCTGCCTCCACTTATTGTAAGAAACACTTGGCTAGGTTTTAAAATTGGAACTTTTAGGGATCCCTGGGTGGCGCAGCGGTTTGGCGCCTGCCTTTGGCCCAGGGCGCGATCCTGGAGACCCGGGATCGAATCCCATATCGGGCTCCCGGTGCATGGAGCCTGCTTCTCCCTCTGCCTATGTCTCTTCCTCTTTCTCTCTCTGTGACTATCATAAATAAATAAAAAAAATTTAAAAAAAAATAAATAAAATTGGAACTTTTAAAGGAGTATTGGAGGAATAAATTTCCCAGTGTATAAATCTGTAATACAGGATAATAACTACCATTATCAGCTCACACTTCTCAAATGTAACCCAATACTTGAGACTCCTAAGCATGAAGATCAAGGCTAAACAGATATGTATGGCAGAAGACACTAAGCTGGTCATCTCAGACAAAGAGGCATTAACTTCATATATGCTATATAGTGAAGTGACTTTTTGAACAGTGAGATATGATATAATATATGAGTACTAACTCAGAAACAGCTTAAGTTTTTAAGTTCCACATCTACAGGACCACAGCCAACCAGCTAAGAAAAGGCTATTGAGGCGACCTAACAATCCCCTAACCTAACAAATGTGAATGAAATTTTAGTTCAAGTCTAACTATGAAGTGAGGTTTAAATTAGGAAGTTCAGGGAGCACCTGGCTGGCTCAGTCTGTAGAATATGTCACTCTTGATCTTGCGGTCATGAATTCAAGCCCCACACTGGGCGTGGAGCCTATTTAAGAAAAAAAAAAAAGAAAGAAAGAAAAGAAAAGAAAAGAAAAGAAAAGAAAAGAAAAGAAAAGAAAAGAAAAAAAATGAGGAAATTCAGGGTTGTAGAACACTTCAGAGTGAAGGATATGGTGTCCATAAGGAAAAGGAGTCTTATTAACAAATGCCTGGGATTTACACAAAACCAGACTGATATGAACACAGGCAATCATGAAGTTGTAATAGAAAAAAAGGAATAGAAGAGGAAGACTAATTTAAAGGACAAGAGGAAACCACACAGGTGAATCTCATCCCAGTATGAGGAAGGCATCAATTATGTTTGTTTAGCACAGAGCCAACTGGCAAATACAGGTGCCCAATGAATAGTTTTTGAAAAAAGTGTGCTTTGTATCCCCACTTAGATGGTGAACTACTTGATTACATGCTTTGTTCTATACTCCTCTCCATCTAGCACAGTTCTTGGAACTTAGTATTTGCTCAAAATTCATTAGTTAATTGATTTCTCCGCCTTTGGCATCTTCAGTAAAGCACAATTCACAAGGCAGAGTCATCTTTCAGAAATGTGTGAGCTTCCCATCCCCTCAAAACGGACAAAGGCAAAGAAGATGAGAGAGGGATGAGAAGGGTGCTAACATTTTACCAAATTAATGAGGGGATATATTGGTGCCCACAATGTGCTGGGAAATACAAAAACAGTCATAAGCCTGTCTCGGAAAAGCCTGAGCAAGTCTATAGGGATTAGAACAGTTGCTGAATTTATGGTACCCTGGGAACCTCTATTTGTCAAGTGCCATAGAGGCAGCCCTGACACTGGCACAGGTGAAGATGAATTTTCATTCAGAGCAGTGAGCCTTCTGACTCCATTAATCCTCAGGGTTTTGATGATGAATTTCTTTCTTTTTTTATTTTATTTATTTTCACTCTAATGCCTCCTCCCACTGCCCTGTAACAGCGTGGAAGGAACGGAACAGATGGTGCTTTACGTGGAAGACCGAAGGCTCATGAGGATACAAAGCCTGCCCACTTTGAAATCACATGACTGCACGTGCAAGGAAAAGCCTTGATTTCCCCTGGGAGACACAGATGCAATGATGTTAGTATTCCCAGTGGAGGGAGGGGAGGGGAAGGCTAACAGGCCATTTACAAGGAAGACCACACTTACACTAATATACTCTTCAGCAAGAACCGTGTTTAATCACAAAACAACAGGAGGACAGATATCTGAAGATTAAAAAACACCAAAGTAAAAGAGAGGCAAGTAAGGGTTTTAGTATGCTGCTATGCAAAGCCCACTTAGAATGAACTAGTGAGGACATACAGTAGTAGAATACTGGCCTCTAGTTAACCTGCCATTGGCTCTGACCCAGTTTTAATCGGAAGAAGCCAGGATTTACAACCTGCTTAAGGATGAGGTTTGACAACTGCTATAATCAGAAGAGCTGTCAACACAAGGACAGCTGTCAAGCCAAACTGTAATTCATAAAAAATAATAGCTAAGCCCCTAAGACATCCCCAACATTGTCTGTACCTACTGGATTTAACTATACTTAGAGTTTTATGAAAGTTACAGAAATAAGCTAAGGGTCCTAAAATCAAATAAAAAAAAATAGCTATGAAGTACCTATTATGTAAAAAAAAGTTAAACAATACTAAGTGACCAAATGGGTAAAATATGCTCACCAGATTCCCGAGGACATAGTGTTTAATAAGTGGTTATTAATATTATTACATGCCCAACTTTATTTTGATTACCTTAAAAACTGGCAAAAGTCTAGTAACCTAGTAAAAAAATCTTAATTAAAAATGAATCACTCCTGTGATTAAACTTAAAATATTAATTTCATGAAATATTCCTGAGTTGCCAGAATATTTTAGTTTTATATGTTTGTAATGCCAAAACCTCCTAACTAATGATATTATTTTAGTGTTTAATTATCTTGATTATAATAAATATGGTATTTGTTTTGTTCTTTCTGCAATGAATAATATACTCTGAGAGACAGAAATAGAGGTTGTTTCACTAGATCAATTTTGGGCAGGATTCCTGAATCAGAGATAATTTTTATTCATGTCTAAACTCCCAGTAAACAGAAATAAGAATATAAAAGCACATGGATGGACACAGATGTTGATAAAGCACAGTTTTGAAAAATAGCCTTGACTCACTAAGGTGACCAGTGATAAAGAATTTTAATTTATTTTATTTCTAAAAAAGATTATCTTCCAGAAAATAATGTCTACTTTAAAAGGATACTGTAATTATTATTGAAATTATGAAAACAGGACTGGAAGTGTAATCAGAAGACCTGGACAAGTGTCTTAGCTCTGCTACTACAACTTGTATTACCCTGTCAAGGTCACTTGACCCACCAGACTTCAGTTTTTCATTTGCAAGAAAGCAAGACCTAGCTCAGACATTTGTTGGAAAGGTTGAAAGATTATGTATATGAAAACAGTATCACCAACACCTTTATCTGGGTTTGGAGGGGTTTTGTGTGTAAACAATTTATCAGAGTATATATAAATTAAATACAGAAAAGTACCAAAATCAAATATATAAATTTTCTTATGATGAAAGTATCCATATAACTAACTAGCACACAGATCAAGAATCAGACCATTATTAGAATCTCAGAAGCACTGCTGCCCTTGTTAATTCCTTCAAGATATTACCTATCCATTTCCGCAAGGAAATGGATGTTGAGTTTTTCCTGTTTTTTTGATCTTTATATAAATGGATACATACAGTATGTATTCTTTTGTGTCTGGCATCTTGAACTCAACAGTATGTGTGAGATTCATGTAAGGTGTTGTATGTTATGGTTGCTATGGTTCTTTCTTTATTGCTGTATAGAATTCCATTGGATGAATATCTTATCTGATTGGATCTCCTAATTCCTGAATCTGAAGATCTGAGTGTTTTTTCAATCACAGAAATTATCAATTAAGTATATCTTCAAATATTGATTTTTATCTACTTGTTTCTTCTGGAACTCTTGCTTAAAAATGCTGGACTTTATTACTTTATATTCAGTGTCTCTTCCACATTTCCATCTCTTTATCTTCTGTGTTGCCATTTAGAACTACCTTTCCATTCATCATTTTTTTTAACTTCTGCCAATTTTGCACTTTAACCTATCCATTGTAAAATTTATGTACTTTTTATCTATCAAAGTTCATTTGGTTCTCTTGCAAATCTGCCTATTCTTTCTTGGAATGTCTTATTCTTATGTTTTTCATCCATTGATTTTATACAAACTTCTGATAATTTCTATCCAGTAATTTTACTGAAGTTCTTCAAAGTCTAATCTTGAGGTTTACTATGTCTGCTGACGATCACTTAAGTTTATTTTGTAGTTTGGGATTATAAGCTCATTTTCAGCAGGGCTTCTTTCTTGTAGGAATTTTGTGCTGCCCTTGTTGAGGATGTGTCCCTCAAGAAAAGTTTAGCATTTGCTTTTGCCAAGTCCCTCAGACATAACCAGCCTGTACACTTATTTTGTTAATTTCTTCACTTGATTATTTATAAAAACAATCAGAGTGTAAGTTTAAACTTCAAACCCATGTGAAATAGGGCCTTTCCCCCCCAACTCAAATTCTGGTGTGTGGCAGATAAACTTCTTTGTCTTCCTTTCTTAAACTGGTGGGCCAACTTTTTCTAATGTAATTTTATATATATATATATATATATATATATATATATATATATATATATATATAAATTTTTTTTTTAACTGACGGTGTAGCCCTTTGAGCATCCTGGCTTATGTGCCAGGATGGTCTCCATTCCAATACCTCATTTTTTCTCATTCAGAAAGCATCATTTCCAGGGTTTGGTGGCATTGAAGCCCAAGCTCATAGTTTCCCTAGTTTAGATGATGTTAGCTCACACACTTACCATTACGGTTGTCACATCCTCGTATACTGGGTGGGAGTTCAAGACACCCGAAGTCTGGGCACATCCCTGAACCTTTAAAGAGGATTTTTGGTATATTTTATCTAACAAATAGGTGCTCAAAAATATTTGTTGAATGAATGAAATATAATTAAGAAAGTAAGTCATATTCACAGTACTAATAGAGCCTATAACATTCTGATTTAAAATAATTTAAAATTAATTTTCAAATTATATATATATATAAAATCTCCAAATATAGAAGTTATTAAAGGGTTTATAGGAAAACCTGTTTATCCTATACTTGTATTCTAGCCCTGCAGTTCCTCTTCCCTCAGGCAACCAACACTAGCTTTTCATGTATACTTCCAGAGATATCTTATGCAGTTACTAGCAATATGTATAGATTTTTTCCATGGTAGCACACTACGTACCACTGTTCTGCTCCTTAATCCTTTCACTTAACAATGTATCTTAGATATTTTTCTGTGTTAGTATGCAAAGAAAATAAAACTTATTTTGAAGCCAATCAGGAAAACCTTTGGAAAATTCCAATCCTGCTGCTATCTAGAAATACATTTTGCAATATATCGACCTTAAAATGGACAAATTCCCACCTCTACTGAGGCATTTGCCCCTAATGGTTAACTAGGGGTCACGCAGTGACTCATTTCCATTTTCAAGGGTCCATTCAGTCTCACTCAGCTGTTAACGAGTTTCTGGATGGAGAAGAGAAAGGAAAGCACAACACATGCCACAGAGAAGGCACTACAAATATCTGAATGAGTGGATGCAACAAGAAAATGAGGGGCTGAAGATCAGAGCTGAGTCAGCAGAGCATGTGGATGCACTCGCAGCTGCTGTCTCTCTAAGCACAGCAGTGAACTCTGCACCCAATCCCAAATATTCTGGAGAAAAAGACGCCTGCTTCTTAAAGTGAGACATCAGGAAAAGGCACAGTCCTGAATTTTACACAGAAAGCCTCACATTCAATGTGAAGTTTCTTATTTCCCCTTTCTCATTATCTGTAGTTGTCTGACTTATGCTTGGTTGTCCCAAATTACCATCACAACTGTGGATATGGCTAAGAAAAGTTTTTTTTTTGGGTCAAAAATTAGGGTTTAGAATAGCCAGTTCTTGGTGATGTTAGAAGAGCTAAATGACAGAATTATCACCTAAAACATGCCTGAGGAGTAATGAGTGCTGTGGAAGGAGGCACAGGAAGGGATTTGCTTTTCTCTTCTTTCCTAGTAAATCTAGAGATGTGAGTTTGAATTTCTGGCTCCTGTAGGTGAGTTTATTAACCTGAGTTTTGGTATCCTCATTTTGTAAACCAAAGCCCTACCTCTTTTTTTTTTTTTTTTAAAGATTTACTTATTTATGTATTTGGGAGAGACAAACTACATAAGCAGGGGGAAGGGCAGAGGGAATCTCAAGCAGACTCCCTGCTGAGTGTGGAGTCGGATATGGGGCTCCATCCTATGACCCTGAGATCATGACATGAGCCAAAAATCAAGAGTCAGACACTTAACCGACTGAGCCACCCAGGAGCCCCACCAAGCTCTATTTTAGAAGGAGCCTCGAGATTCCTTTACCTGTATACTGCATTGTGTATGTATATTTTGTATGTATAAGGTCAAATTATATCTAAATGTTATAGTCCACATTCTCTGATTATTACTGGAAGACAGTTCTCTAAGGGATTCTTCATGATTCTGCATCTCTTGAGAGCAAAGGTAATGACAGCTTTTGTTCCAGACTCTTTTTAATAAGGCTGTCTGTATAGTGAACAGCCTTGGACTACAGAGGTAATGCTTCCTTCCAGAGTAGAGGGTACTGTCCAATGTAATAAAAATAACATGTTCTCCAGGGCCACAGCTGGGCAGGTTTGCTTGCAGCTCATTATATTATAGACTAGAGTTCCCTAAACTTAGGATTCCTAAGATATGATACACTGTGTGTATAGTATCTATCTGTACTTCTCTGCTTAGCTCCTACGGGACTAAAAAATGAAATAACACAAACATAAAGCTCATGCTGCTTGCTGTGTTATGAAAAATCGTTTTTGGTGGTTTTTGCCAGAATCCATGAAACTGTGTCAGGTTAACTTGTTAATTTGCAAGCAGGGTATAATCTTAGACTACACATAGTTCTTGACAGTTCATAGTGGGGCTGAGCATATTTTCTTGCTGTTTATTTCATATTTGGCTCTTCCCATCTGTGAACTATCCATTTTTGGGGATCTATTTTTCTATTTGACTGTCTTTCTTAATGGCTGGTGGACAGTCTTGATACATTCTATATGCTGATCTTAGGCAGGTTATTTGCATTTTAAATTAAATATCTTCTCCTAGTAGTCTGGCCTTATGTTTTCACTTTGTTCATACTATCTTTTGTTTAACAGAAGTTTAAAATTTTAATGTACTTATCATAATTTAAATTAAGAAACCATTCCTTACTCTATTCATCTAAAAGTTTATAATTTTGCTTTTCTTTATATATCTATTCACCTAAAACTGATTTATGTGTATGGGGTGAGTTTTTTTTTTAAGATTTTATTTATTTATTCATGAGAGACACAGAGAGAGGCAGAGACAGGCAGAAGGAGTAGCAGATTCCCCGTGGGAAGCTTGATGCGAGACTCGATTCCAGGACCCTGAGATCACAACCTGAGCCAAAGGCGGACACCCAACCACTGAGCCACCCTGTAAGTTGTCTGGTTATCTACTGTTGTATAACAAATCACTCAAAATCTAGTGGCTTAAATACAATGCATTAGTTTTCATGATTCTCTGGGTTGACCAGTTGGTTCTTTTGCTTCAAAGAACTAATTCTTAGTTTGTTGATTTTCTCAATTGTTTTTCTATTCTCTTTTTCATTCATTTCTATTCTAATCTCTATTATTCTTTTTGCTTTCATTAAGCTGTTTGCTGTTCTTTCTCCAGTGTCTTAAGGTGGAAGATTAGGTTACTGATTTTCTTCTTTCTTAACACAGGCATTTATAGCTACAAATTTCTCTGTAGGTACTGCTTTAGCTGTACTCCATAAATTTTGGCATGTGCTGTCTTCATTTTAATTCATCTCAAAGTATTTTCTGATTTCTCTTTTAATTTCCTCCTCCTCTACTTGTTACTTAAGAGTGTGTTGTTTAGATTCCTCATATTTGTGAGTTTTCAAGTCTTGATATCTAATTTCATTCCACTGTGGTTGGAGAACATACACTGTATTATTTCTATTCTTTTAAACTTATTGAGGTTGTTTCATGGCCTTCATATTGTCTATCCTGAAGAATGCTCTAAGTGCAGTTGAAAAGAATATATGTTCTGTTGTTGGTGGAATGTTTCATAGATGTCTGTTAGATCTAGTTGGTTTATAGTCTTGTTCAGGTCTTCTATTCCTTGTTTACCTTCTGTTGAGCTGTCCTATCCATTAATAAAAGTGGGGTGCTGGAATCTCCAACTATTTTTATTTTTATCCAACTATTTTTTTTTTGAATTGTCTGAGTTTTTTCTTTAGTGGTTACTCTAGGGTTTACCATATAAACATTTTAACTTCAGCTTCAGATTTATACTCAACTTAATTCCAGTGATATATAGAAACATCACTTCCATATATCTCTATTCCATCTTCCCTCTTTTGGTGGTAGTATTGTTATATCTGTTACATCTATTAATGTTACAAATCCAACAATACATTATTACAATTACTTTAACATCTGTAGTCACTTTCCTTAGCCCAGTATAACTTTGTTCTCATCTGTCTCCTCTGGGCTGTTATTGGCAAATATATTATACTTCTATATGTGATGGGCCCAATACACCTTATATACATATTATTTTTGACAGTACTTTTAAAAATCAGTTAAGGAAAGGAGAAAAAAGTATGCATTTATACTATCTTTTATAACTACATGATTGTATTCATGAATCCTCTGTTTTTTCATGTGGATTTGAATTACCTTTTGGATCATTTGCTTTCAGTCTGAATATTTTCCTTTAGTATTTCTTGTCAGATGGGTCTGCTAGCAACAAATTCTCTCAGTTTTTGTTTATCTGGGAAAGACTTTATTATATCTTCATTTTTGAAAGATAACTTTGCTAGATATATAGATATATATTCCTTCTATTTCTATAAATAGATATTCAAGGTCAGAACACAGTGGGATAACATTGAAAGTGATCAGGGGAAACCACTCAACTGGGGCATAAATTGTTCTACAAACCAACCAAATCAAATTGTGGCTTTTTTAAAGGTCAGTGTTTGATATTTGTTCTTACTCATGAAGGCTCCTCCCAGCTGGAGTATTTTCCCATTCTCTCCATTATTCTTGAGAGTACCCTTGTTCAAGAAGCCTTGAACTTCTCCAGGCTCTGCTGCAAGTGAAGTCAGTTCCTTTGGGAAGAGATTAGGAGCTGTTTTATAGCTAGCTTCTCCCTCCAGGCAAAATCTGAGCCAGATTCTGGAGCCAGGAGTGTGGAAAACAGTAAACTTCTCTTTGAGTGACACCCCTCCTCCCTCTGCTCTAGGAGTTGGTGGTTGGTGGCAGTATAGGGACAGCCTGGTTTGCCTCTCCTGGCATGGAGCCACTACCTTGCAAACCAGGGCAAGGGTGATCGGGGCCTCAGTATTGTCAGTGTACCACATCCAAGCCTCCATCTCATGACTACACTTGCCCAGGATTTAGCTCTTTAAAATGTATTTTCTACCTTTTATACTAATGTTTAAGAATATAGTTTAAAAAAAAACTGACCTTGTATTCAGCATCTTTGCTTTATTGTATCAGTTTTAATAATCTGACTGTAGAGTCTCCTGAATTTCTATGTAGCTACTTATTTTATTTGAAATTAATGATGATTGTTTCTTTTTATCCCTCCCATGTGCTTTTTTATTTCTTTTGCTTTTCTTTCTGTGTAGTCTAGGATTACAATATAATATTACAGAAAATTAGTTTGGGAGGCATCTTTTTTTCATTCTTGTTTTTAAAGGAAATGCTTCAAACATTTCATCTTTAGTAATATTTGTACTAGGTTTTTGATATATAATTTTTTAAGATTTTATTTATTTATTCATGAGAGACACACAGAGAGAGAGAGGCAGAGACATAGGCAGAGGGAGAGGCAGGCTTGCTGTGGGGAACCTGATGTGGGACTCGATCCCAGGACCTCAGGATCACGACCTGAGCCAAAGGCAGATGCTCAACCACAGGGCCACCCAGGTGCCCCAATATATAATCAAGCCATAGACGTTTTCTTGAGTTTCTAGTTTAGTAAGAGTTTTTATCATAAACAATCATATTAGCTAACATCTACTGAATAACTACAAGGTATTGGACATTGTCCTAAGCACTTAGCCCATTATATGTTCATAACATATCTCTGAGGTTATTATTATTCCTATTTCACTATAAATAAACAGGCACATTGAAGTTACATCATCTATCCAAGCTCGGTAGTAGAACTAGAATTTGAACCCAGAAGTTTGGCTTAAGAGCCTGGGGTCTTAAACACTTTTCTGTATTGCTTCTTTATATTGCATTCTGTATTGAATTTCCTCAATTGCTTTTTCTGCATCTGATTTTACTAAATGGTTTTTCAATTAATTTGCTAATGTGGCAAACTACATTAACAAATGTTTAAACTGTTAAATCATTTTTGAATTCCTAGGAGAAATTCTACTTAATTTCATGTTTAAAAAACACTCATGGATTTCACTTGCTAATATTTTATTTAGGATTTGTATATATATGTTCAAAAGTGACACTGACTCACAATTTTCATTTTTTTGGTGCTAGTTTTGGTACCCAGATTATATTAACTAAACTCATAGATGAGTTGGGGCATGCATTGTGATATTCAATTGTCATCATCAGGCTGATAAATATAGTTGGTATTAATAGCTAGTCCAACAGTTTAGACTCTTGGACAACTCAGTAAGGTTTCTGACATCCAAGCAAATGCTAATAAGAAGTGGACAAAAATGTCCAGGGGTGGCCAAAACTGGCAAAAAGAGCCTAATGTATTCTTTCTCTTTCTTCTTTTTCTTTCTTTCTTTCTTTCTTTCTTTCTTTCTTTCTTTCTTTCTTTCTTTCTTTCTTTCTTTCTTTCTTTCTTCCTTTCCTTTCCTTTCTTTCTTCTTTTCTTTTTTTTTTAAAGGATTTTATTTATTTATTCATGAGAGACACAGAGAGGCAGAGACACAGGCAGAGGGAGAAGCAGGCTCCATGCAGGGAGCCCGATGTGGGACTTGATCTTGGGACTCTAGGATCATGCCCTGAGCCCAAGGCAGATGCTTAATCGCTGAGCCATCCAGGCGTCGCCTTTTCTTTTCTTTTATTTAATTTTTTTTTAATTCTGTCTTTCAAAGTCTGACGGTGACTTTGATCCTTAACCTGGTTTAAAAATTGATGGTTGTCCCTTATTCAACCATTTTCACCTCCAAACAGACTAAAAGTAAGAATACTTTTACTAAGTGCTTTATTTGCAATATACTTCAGTATCTTTTATCTCACTGAATTTACCCAGAGAGATAAAATTTACCCATCCCAATTTACTCTTTAAGAGCCATATTATGTCAATCTTATAGACTATCCTCTATTTTATAGTGAAAATTACTTAACTAAGCTAATCAGTTAGTAGGCAAAAGGAGTTAAAAAATCAAATCTTTTTCTTTGCTTCAATTACATCAAGAAAGTATTTCTTGTAGGAGAGACTGGAGCTCCCATAATGACAATGATTAGCACCTTAGTTGTCACTGACAGTATGAAGCATGAAATAATGAATTTTCAAAGGGGGACTGGAGGAGCCTCCATTTCTGTTGATGGTATAGAAAGGTTCAGTTTACTATGAATGTTCCTGTAAGAATTGTAATATATCTCTAACTTTAGAGGTTGTTAATCTATTTTCGAATAAAATATTACTGTATTTCTGCTGGTGAGCAGACATTTTTCTTTTTAAATTTGTGTTTATATTATTTCTTAAAAATCAAGTATAATTAACATATGGTGCTATACTATTTTCAGATATACAATATAATGGCTCAACGATATTATACATTTCTCGGTGTTCATCAAGGTAAGTATAGTCTTAATCCCCTTTATCCATTTCACCAGCCCCCATGCTCCCACCCACATCCCCTCTGGCAACCACCAGTTTGTTCTCTCTCTCTCTCTCTTTTAAAGTGGGCTCCATGCTTAGCATGCTTAGCATGGAGCCCAACATGGGGTCTGAACTCATGACCCTGAGATCAAGACCTGAGCTGAGATTAAGAGTTGGATGTGTAGCTGACTGAACCACCCAGGTGCCCCTGTTCTCTGTATAAGAGTCTGTTTGCCTCTTTTTTCCTTTGTTCATTTGTCTCTTCTTTATTTCTTACATGAGTGAAATCATACGGTATTTGTCTTTTCTTTGATTTCTTTCACTTAGCATTATACCCTTTAGGTTCACCCAAGTTGTTGCAAATAGCAAGATTTAATTCTTTTTTTTGTGGCTGAGTAATATTTCCTAGTGTGTATACATATATACACATACACACCACATCATCTTTATCCATTCATCTATCAATGGACATGTGGGCTTCCATATCTTGGCTATTATAAATAATGCTGCAATGCAGATAGGGGTGCCGATCTTTGAATTAGTGTTTTCATTTTCTTTGGTTAAATATATAGTAATAGAATTATTGGACCATATGGTAATTCTATTTTTAATTTTTTGAGGAACCTCCATACTATTTTCCAAAGTGGCTGTACCAATTGACCAGGCATTTTTCAAAGTACTGGATAGGGTTGGACAAAGTTGAAATAGAGAAAACTTTCAAATATGATTGTTAATAATTTGGAAACATCTTACCATAATGTAGAGCTGTTTGACCTTCATCATCCTGTAAAAGAAATTAATAACACATTTTAGAAGTCTATGTTATTGCAAAAGTATGAAAGTACACAAGCTATAGCAAATATATCTGATATACCAAAGTTCTGTAATTTATCAGATACAGTTCTTTGAGCCTTCCTGTAACTTTTGACCAAGTTCTCTAGAATGCTGAATGGCAACTTCTGCATTGCAGTTGCTACATCAGAATCACAGGACAATCAGGTTACAGATATTAAATCAAAGAGAACCTCTTAAAACGTGGCAATCTGATTACCATTAATGGCAAAAAACCCTGACACCATATATCCTTTACCCTGGTTAGTATTTTAATGTTTTTTCCTAAGTTTATTGCTGAATCTATGTAAAAAGTCTGTGATTTCTCATAAAAGTTAGTAGCTTTTGGGGCACCTGGGTGGCTTATTCAGTTAAGTGTCTGCCTTCGACTCAGGTCATGATCCCAGGGTCCTGTCGGGCTCCCTGCTCCTTTTGCTCTCCCCCTGCTTATGTTCCCTTCTCTCTCTTTCTTACATACTCTCTCTAAAAGATAAATAAAATCTTTTTAAAAAGTTAGTAGCTTTTAAATCCCTTTCAAATAGTCACAAATTCCAGGCTCATAATATTATCAAATATTACCTGATTAAATATCATAAAGAAATGTGATTTCAAAGCATATAAAGTCCTAGAAGTTGTTAAGAAAGTCAAAAGTTCCCATAGATTACTCTGATAGTTGTTATTTTTTTCTTTTTAAATCAAGATATTCTAACTACATATACTAATTATAGCACATATGAGTACTTTTAGCAATGCTGCCTCTTGAGAGAATGTGATCATACTATGAGCAAAAAATTCATCAAGATTAAGTACGAGGCAGAATTTAGTAGTTTTTTTGATATTCACTTAGTAATATACACAGCCACTATTGTGTCCCTGGTAATTAAGAATAAATAATTATTATGAATAACTGGGAGAGGGTGATTATGCCTAATCAACTATTGCGCATACTATAGCTACTTTTCTCACTTCTTAGAAGTTAAATGTGGGGGCTAATTTCCAGAACTTTTTGGCTATGGTTCTCTTTATTGAATCCCCTAGTAAGAAAAGCAAAAGCTGCCATAGGAAACTTCTTTTCTGGTTCAGAGAAGTAGTAAGAAAAAGTCATTCCTTAAAGGCTTTTTAACATAGAGAAGGTTTGTAGAGCTGACATCTGGTGGGCGGTTAGGGAGACAACCTTGAGGCAATATAACAGCTTAATTAAACTGTTTTCCTACTAGACAATGGGAATTCTTGCTGGATTTGGGGGTAAGGCATAAGAAAGTGAGTGGAGATCTGAAAGAAGTAATTAATTTTGAGGGACCTTGAGAGTAGGGCCAACCTGGCTGAAGTGTAACAGGGTTAAGTCTGGGCTGCCCACTGAACATCATTAGGATAATAAACTTAAGGGAAGTAGAAGATGGAAAGCAGCACAAAGAAGTCAGGAAGACAAAAGAATATTTTTACTCCTTTAAAAAAATTTTAATAGAAGTATAGTTGACATACAATAATATATTAATTTCAGGTGTTCTACTTAGTGATTCAAGGATTATATACATTACAAAATGCCTATGTCTTTCTTGTCTTTTTCAACGTGGCCCCTACCTTGCTCCCTGATCCCCTTTGCCTTGCCCTGCTCTTGAGGTTAAGGACAGGCAGAGGTTCCAAGTTGATGTTTACGGTGGGCAGCATGACAATGAAAAGCTGCACTTCAGAGTATTCTGACCTGCCTGGCTATAACCAAAAGCAATTTAGAAAGAACAGAACTGCCCATATGGCTTTAGACTCATGTCTAATTTGCCCATTTCCAATGTTAATCAGAAAAAGCATACATAGTGTGTGTGTGTATGTGTTTATACCTTCACATGCAAACATGTGAGCAGTTTATACAGTTGTGCTTATTAACGCTTAAATGTCCAGCAACAGAAAACAATTTCAGAAAGGGCTTAATCTATTGCAATTTTGGATTCATGCATCTATCACACAAAGTTATATTTTCCACAGTTATCTACCTTTAGAAAGTGTAGCTCTGTTGCTATTTGTGTAAGTTTCTTGTTTAATTGCTCTATTTATATATATTCAAAATTCCGTTTCTTTTCATTTCCATCTTTCTTCCCTTCTTCCCTCCTTCCTTCCTCCCCCCCCCTTTTTTAAAAAGATTTTTATTTGTTTATTCATGAGAGACACAGAGAGAGAGAATGGTAGAGAACAGGCAGACAGAGAAGCAGGCTCCATGCAGGGAGCCCGATGTGGGACTCGATCCTGGGTCTCCAGGATCATGCCCTGGGCTGAAGGCAGGCGCTAAACTGCTGAGCCAGGCTGCCCTCCTTTTTTTTAAAAAAATTAGGCTCCACACCCAGTGCGGAGCCCAACGTAGGGCTTGAACTCACAACCCTGAGATCAAGACCTGAGCTGAGATCAAGAGTCAGATGTTTAATGGACTGAGCCACCCAGGCACCCCTCTTTTAATGTTGAATTGTTTATCTTCACTAGGTAGGTGGAAACAATTTCTTTTAATCATTTTTACCACTGAATACTAAATCTGTATCTCCAGCCCAATTTTTATTAATTAATTAAAAATATTTACTGAGCTCTATTGTGTCCCAGTCACTGTTCTATGGACTGAAAACGCAGAGGTGAGCAAGAGAGAAAATATCCCTCATGTTATAAGTTTTACATTCTACTAGTAGGGGAAGTAATAAGCAAATAAATATATTTAATAACAGGCAGTGATAAGTGCTCTGAAAAAACCAACAAAGCAGAATAAGGGTGTGGAGTGATGTGGGTACTGTTTTAGATAGAGAGGACAAAGAAGGACTCTATTAGAAGGTATGTATACACAGAGAACTGGGGAATATTCTAGGGTAGCCATGTTTAGTAAACCATACCACCCTCCATCTTCCTGGTCTGAAAAGCCAAGTCAAGCCGATCAGAGTTTTCGCTTAGGATTTTAAAATGTGGAACTAGGTGAATGCAGTATGTGTACAAAGGTTCTTTCTTTCCTGATGAAAAGAAAATGTAGTGAAATAAGAAAGACAACAACAACAACAAAAAAGAAAGACAACAACAGACAAATAGTGTATTATTTCACTTACATTAAGTACTTAGAATACTCAATTCATGGAGACAGAAAAATAGAATAGTGGTTACCAGGGGCTTGGGGAAGGAAGGAATGGGAAGCTTTATTTAGTGGGGAGAGAGTTTCAGTTTGGGACGGTGAACAAGTTCTGGAGGTGGACAGTAGTGATGGCTGCATAATGTGCATGTGTTTAAGCCACTGAACTGTACACTTGTTAAAATGATTACTTTTGTATTTTACCACAATTAAGAAAAACAGAGAATCAAAAAAAAAAAAAAAAAAAAAAAAGCAAAAGCAAAAGCAAAAGGTGTCAGCCCAATCTGCAAATGGCAACATTCTCTACTTCTTGGAGAAAACTTCCACAGTAGGAAAGAATGAAGTATTCACAAAGAAAAGTCATGGTCAAAGATGGTGAGACAATGAGGCTCAGATTCTTGTCATTCCAAGTACAGCCTTGCCCTTCTTGGTTAAGTGAGCCAACAACAAAAAACTCCCTAGACAAATGTTTATCTTTTTATCACTTGTAAGTAAGATTTCTAACACAGAATGCAAACCAATTTATGACCCGAGTCTTTCTCCCAATTCCTTCTCCCATTTTGGTGACTGCCTGCTCCCAATAAGAATACCTCTCTGGACTCCCACAACTGTAAATGTCCTTCCTTCTGCTTGGAAACTATCCTTCAATCTTTTACAGATAACGTCTTGCTTTTCTCTCATGTTTTAAAATGCGACTTAAATATATTTGAGCATTTTAAATAGACTTATTTTATAGTCCCTATATTTCTTTTATTTGAGATCAAGGTGAGGAGATGGGTGATGGCTACATGTGATGTTTGTTGTGCTGCCTGAGATTTGCTTATTATTGATTGACTCCTGTGTGCTTTATAATTTTGGACTGTAAGTTCATTTTATTTTATTTATTTTTATTTTTTAAAGATTTTATTTATTTATTCATGAAAGACACACACACACACACACACACACACACACAGAGGCAGAGACAGGCAGAGGGAGAAGCAGGCTCCATGCAGGGAGCCCAATGTGGGACCCAATCCCAGGACTCTGGGATCACGTCCTGAGACAAAGGCAGAAGCTCAACCACTGAGCCACCCAGGCATCCCTGTAAGTTCATTTTAAGTGTGGTTTTTAAGTGTGAAAAATTCTGTGCTGTGTTCACTGGATTGAGGATCTGTCCCTCCAGAATGATTTTGCTTTTGTTTCTGCTAAGTACCACAGAGATACTAAAACCCTTGTTTGTTGATTCCTTAGTGTGGGGATTCTGAACACTTAAGCAGAGTAAATTTTAAAAGGGCAAACCTCTCTCTCCCAGCTCCCCTGGGCCTGGAGCACCAGCCAAGACAAATTCTCCATATTAACTTTGCATCAGTGGGCAGATTATTTTAGTCTATCTCCCTGACAGTAGTTGGTGTTCTTTGAGCTCTCTTATCTCATAAGTATTGAGATTGGCAAATTCTTTCAGGATAGCCCACTGTTGGCTTAAACTTACTACTTTCTTTTTAAAGCTCTGGGCTTTTTAAAGTTTAGTTTTAAGGCTTACAATTTTGTTTCTTACCTGTGTTTGTTTGGACCCTTGGAGAATTACCTTGCTTTTTTCATAAGATCTGCTATGCGTTTAAAGGGATGCTTGTTATATTTTATTCTGCATTCTTGGGTGTTTTTAAAGAATTTTTACATCATCTAGTCTGGAATCTTGTAGGAAAAGGAAATCCCTCACCTTTAAGACACAGTTCAGCTTCTTCAGGAAACCTTCCCAACTCCTCAGGTGGGGGTTAGGCGCCCCTTTTTCTACTACTGGGCAGAGCATACTCTATGCACTTGCTTGTCTCTTCCACTAAGCCATAAAATTCTTGCAGGCAAATACTATCTTTTACCCACTG